AGAGTTTTCACATCAAATATTCTATCCATAAGTACTTGTGTATTTGTCAGATCTTGTATCCTGATTTTGGGCGAGGAAAATAGAATCATCATATATGTTAACCTTATGATCTTGTGTTCACAGGGCATTTTATAACAGCTGTTTCACCAGGCTTATCAAGGGCTCATTTACTTCCACCAGTGCGATCAGCCAGCCCTGAAGATGGGCCTAGCAATCGCTTATCAGCTGTATGCATGACCTGTCTGAGGAGAAAACTTGGGTGGAGAAATGTCACTATGTTTTCCAAATTAGAACTCGAGCGGGAAGAACTGTGTGTGGGACAGCTGTGAGCCAGTTCCAGGAAGAAGCTATCAAGTGTCCAGGCCTTGAGACCCACATTCTTATAAGAGACTGGAGAGAAGAAATCCTGGCCCCATGCCTTCACACACCAGCCTGGCTACTGCTATCCCAGGTTGGCTGTGAGAAAAGCAGGCAGAAAGGTGAAGCCTTTCCTGGGATGAGCCTTGGAAAGGCTTGCTCTTCTGGAAGCAGGGAGTAGGCTCCTGTACCTTCCTGGCAGATGTTATAAGCCTGTGTGACTGCTTCATAGACATAGATCATGGAGGCTGAGAATCACAGTGTATAGGCCATGGGGAAGCTCACAGGCTCTGGAGCCAGGCCACCTGGTGGCCTGGTGGCATTAAACTCCATGCCACCATTGGACAGGCCATTGAACCTCCTTAGGACTCACTTTTTTCAATTGTAAAATATGATTAATAATTGTACCTATTCCATGTTGTTGCCAGGAGGAAATAGAATAATCTAGGTAGAGTTTTGAGAGTTGCACATGATCCATGGGAAGTCTTCAGAACATGTCAGTGAGGCTATAGGGGCTTTGGTGTGCCAGGGAAATCCTTTACCCAGGCTGAACCCCTACCAATGCATCTCCCCCAAGAGCTTATTTAGTCAGTAGTTGACTACTTATGAGAAGGGGGAACCCACTACCTCTTAAGGCAGCCCACACCACCTTCACGTAAGTCTGTTTCTTGGAGAGTTTTTATTTGTGTTGATCCCAAATCCATTCTGAATACTTCCTAGTGGGTCCTAGTCCCATCTCTATGGTCATGCAGAATTCATCAAACTCCTCTACCTCAAAACCACAGTTTAAATCATGTGAAAATCATTGATATCACTCTCCCTGCCTATACTTTTTTCCATTTCATGAGTCTTGTCTTTTCTTGACAATACACCCTCAGTTCCTTCTAAAGAGCATCAAATGACATGGTTTCAAATTCATTCGTCATTGAGGTTTCTGTCTTCTGACCTGTGATTTAGCTCTGTGTGCATTGAGTCACTACTATGCACTGATGCAAATATAAGGTGAAGCTCCAGGGCCTCAGTTAGTCAGGGAATGCCATTCTAGGCATGGGGAACAGCATTTGCTGAGATAGGGAGGCATGAACTGCACTCACAGTTCAGACAGTTTGGTATATTACTGGAATACGGTATTAACTGGAATCAGATGTGGTCAGATCATGGCAGGAACAGGTGAATTTTACCTGTACATGATGGGAGTCATTAGAGGACTTCAGTAGGGGAGAAACATGCTCCAATTTGTGCTTTAGTAGAGCATTCTAACTGTGGCATGAAGATTGGCCAAAACTGAACATGGGGAGACCAGTTAACCAAATGATGAACACCAAAGGGATGGAGAGGAGGAAAATGAGTCATGGGCCAAAATATCCAAAAAATATACCAAAAGACTAACACTGATTATGTGTGGGTGGTAGGATACTGAGTAATTTCCTTCTCTTTTTGTTCCCCATTGTTTTCCAATTTCTGTTTAATAAATATTTTCCATTTTTTCTGTATTTAGCATGTTATTTATATAGTAAAAATAATTTAACTTGCCTATAACACTTCAGAATCAAACTGACAGGCCTTGTTCATTGATGGAGGGAGGAGTCTGGAAGATCTGTCTCCTGGCCTGGGTGCCCAGGTGGGTGGGGTGGCCACCAACTGAAACAAAAGACAGGGGATCAGCACTCTTTAGGAATTCTGTAGCATCCCTGTGACAGAAAGGAAGCCCCCAGTGTGCTATGACTTCCTTTTGGCTTCTTTGCATCCTGCACAGCAGTCTCTGCCTGAGTCTGCAAGCCCCAGGAACTTCCTGGCCACTCAACATCCCTACCTGTCTAGCAGACTCGTTGCAGCAAAGCCCACCAGAGCTCCATGAAAGCAGCAGTGTTTCCTTAGATTGGGTGTCATTCCTTCAGCTAACACTTACTGAGTGCCTGCCATGTGCTCAGCCACAAGCTAAGCCTTAGCCTTGGTGCAAAGAATGGACAGTTCCCATCTTTGCAAAACTCACCCCCATGTGAGAGATGCAAATGTTAAAAAAAAACACTTAATGAACACACAACTCCAAACCGAGACTAATGTTCCAAAGGAAAGGAAATGGTTCTAAGAAGACATGTAAGAAATGAAACTTCTCTGTTCTGGGAGTTTGGGGAAGGATCCCAGGAAAGAGAGACGCTTGGGCTGAGAGTCAAAGGGTAAGAAGGAGGGAATGGTGGGAAAGTGTTCTAGCTGAGGGAACAGCATTGTGGCAGCTGGGTAGAGGGGGGAGTATGTCATATTTGAGTAAAAGAAAAGCTGTTTAACCAGGAGTCCAAAGAGTGAGGGCCAGGGGATGGAAGTGAGTGGAGAGGTGGGTGGGCTGGACCCTCTGGGGCCTTGTAGGGCATGAGAAGGAATCAGTCTTTATTCTAATAGCAGACCCTGTGGCCACGGCACAATGGAGAGTTTCCCGTCCTATGTGTCCCACTCTTATCTTGCCATCAGAGGCCCTGGCACTGAAGGCCTGATGGCAAAGGCCCCTCATGGCAGGGTAGCCCAGATAGGGTTGGTTCCCTCCCCTCTCTGTGAGTAGCCCTTAGTGCGCTCTCCCTACAGCAGACATTTCTCAAAGTTGCTTTGTGGTTCAGTTTTCAACTTTCTCATGGCTTCGCATCCCCTTTACCACTAATATGTGTACAACTTGCTAATTAATGGAATCATTTGGATCTGAAAATATCTTGTTCTAATGGGAAGCTGCAAAGTACTCCTTAATTCCACCGGTAAAATTATTCCAGCTTTTCTCTTTTATTTATTTATTTATTTTCTCTCCCAGCTTGGCTATAGCTAGGAAGAATTCTCCTCATTAGTCTTGTGAAAACCGCTCCACCAGATTTAAAGTGCCAGTGACTGCCCTGCCACCTGGGGAGCGGCGATGCAACCTTTGTTTACTCAAAGAGGAGGGCAGTGGGTGAATACAAAGGTGAAACTTCCAATACCTAGAGAAGTGGAATGATGTCCATGGTGGGGGCGGGAAAGCCAGACAGCAACACTGAAAGTGCCCTCTGTGGTGTGATTCAGAGGAGAGTGTCCTATCATACATGTGTCAGAGGTGGCCCACGGATTTTCTGCACAGCTGGCTAGATGTGAGGAAGGAGGGCCTGCCTTTCCCCCACATCTCTCCTAGGATGTGAAGACTTGGTGCACTTGGTGCACTGTTGACAGAAAACTTTCTTAGGATTAGAGGTGATCTGGGGGTGACTTGCCTGTGACCACCTCTTTGGCATTTGCAACTGAAACTTGCAAAATCCCCTTTAAACGAGGAGGATTCATGCCCTGGCTGGTGTGGCTCAGTGGATTGAGTGCCAGCCTGTGAACCAAAGGGTCACTGGTTTGATTACCAGTCAGGGCACATGCCTGGGTTGCTGGTCAGGTCCACAGTAGGGGGCATGCAAAACAATCAACTGATGTTTCTCTCACACATCGATGTTTCTCTCCTTGTCTTTCTCCCTCCCTTTCCCTCTTTCTGAAAATAAATAAGTAAAATCTTTAAAAAAAATGAGGAGCATTCTTGGTGTGTTATTTATGGTTGAGCTTATAAGTGAGGGGTCCTTCTCCCCAGAAGCCAACAGTACAAGCCTACATACCTTTGGGGACACTGACAAGACCCATGTTCTAAATAGAGTTTTTCATTTACTTTTTTAAAGGTATCTGGGTACTTTAAAAAAATTTTATTGTGATAATATATGCATAACAAAATTTACTATTTTAACCATTTTTAAGTGCACAGTTTAGTGGCTCCAAGTCAACTCATATCATGCAACCACCACCGCCACCATCCATCTCTAGAACTTTGTTCATCTTCTCAAACTGAGATTCCATGCCTGTTAAATGAAACTTCCTTCAGTGTTTTTTTAAATTTCATCTTTATTGTATTTTTTCCATTACCATTTAGTCCCCTTATATTCCCCTCCCCCAAGCAATCACCACACTGTTGTCCATGTCCATGAGTCAGTGGGGTTTTCGAATGGAAGGCAATGATGATGTTCAGACTTGGGTCCTGACAGAAAGTGCCCTGGTCAGAAATCTGTAGGAAGAGAGGTCCGTTCATGTTATCTAGAGAAGGTGCTTTCAGAGCTAATTCCTCAGCCCTCTCAGGGAGGTCTCACCACCCAGATGTGTCCTAAGGGTATGAGTCAGCTTCAGCAAAGGAAGCCCTGCCCCCTTGATCTGATACTACCAGGCTCACCTGTTTTATAGCAGGTGGGTCAGCCATGGGCCCTTGAGTGATCACTAAGTCCTTGCATGGCTGTCTCTAGTCAAAGTGAGCCCTTTCTGCAGTGAGATGCTGCTGTAGGAGAAGATTGTCTCTAAGCTGGGGTATTAGAAAATTGAATACTTTGGAGTGAAACAACATATTCTTCCCTTTAGAAGTATAGTCCTGCCAGCCTTTTCATTTGGATATGGTGCTAGGAGAGACTTGGAGTCAGTCTACCCCAGATGTAGATTCTTGCTCTGTCTCTCAGTTTCTTCATCTAAAAAAACCGGCTCATAATATATTACTGGTACAGCTGCTAAGACGATTGCATGGCGTTGTGTCAGTATGGCATCCAAGACAGCATGTGGTTCAATACATGGAAGCTGGTGTTCTCACTGTCGTTACTGTCTGTGATTTGTTGATGTAGGTCTCCAGGTGGTTCTGAATTCCATCATCAAGGCCATGGTCCCCCTGCTGCATATCGCCCTGCTAGTGCTGTTTGTCATCATCATCTACGCTATCATTGGCCTGGAGCTCTTCATGGGGAAGATGCATAAGACCTGCTACAACCAGGAAGGCATAGCAGGTAAGGGAAGATGCTGGCTAGCCAGCTCTCCAGAAGCTTCACTCTGTGGTCACTATTTTCCATTCATCTAGGGACACTACTGCCATATGACCAGTGGTGCCTAGAAAGGCTCCTCCACTCCAGTGCTCATGTCTCCATACCATGGTTAATTGAGAGGCAGAGATTGGTATTATTTTTTTTCCTCTTGAAATTTTTGTCTTTGCTAAAATTGATCTCTGTTAAAATAGCTAAATGCAAGCTTTGTCCAGCACTGCTAACCACTGTTTAAGTGAGCTGTGTGATTCAAGAAACATCCCTTAGCCCATCTTGAATATGTTCATTTAAGAATCAGACCTCTCCTGGAGACTATAGATCTCTGCTCTGTTGATTCTCCAGTGTTGCCTACCATCAGAAGTCCTTTCAGGAAGGCAGCTTTGCCTGTAACCAGCAGGCTGGGTCCTCATGGGCTGACCTTAACTCCCCCGCTCTTAATATCCTCCGCTTCTCTGTTCCTAGGCAGATGCTTCTCTGCTCCTAGGCAGAATCCCTGGCTCTGTATCTCATGCAGGGAGGAGGATGGTGGGTGGGGAAGCACCTCCTTGCCAGCAGTGAAACTTCTTTCCTCCAGGAAGAGGTTTTTCTCTACTTCACAATTTCCTCAGAACTGCTCTACCTCAGTCCTTTCCTTTTTGAGATTCTGCTCTCCATGCTCCCTCCATAAATCAATATATTTTATAAGCAATGCTGGCTCATTAAGCACTTCCTTGAGTAGGTCTAGAGTTTTGACTTATGGAATATAATATAAATGGCTGTCTTAAGTTACTAAAATCTCAGCTTGACCTTTAAAAAAGCATTTAAACAGAAATTGACAAGGCTTTTAAATAGACATGTAAAGTAGTGTAACATAAAAATTTGATGGAAAAAATACCCTCCCCTGCAACAAGGGGTTATTAATGTTAAATTTTCATGTTTTATTCCCCTCAAACAACATCTTGCATCTTAGTTTTTGGCACCTTAGTGAAGAAAGGGGAGTGTGTTTGAAACATTAAAAGATACCTAACTTCTCTCCATCTGCTGCTTCTCATTTCCATTCAGCCCAGAAATTAAATTCAGTTTGACCCTTCCTGCTTTGGGGCACTGGAGAGACATCACCTATACAACAAGGAGTAAAATGGATTATTCATAGTCAGAAAACAGAATGAATTACCTGATCTGGATGACCTGGTTTGATTGGATATATTGGGTTTTTGCAAGGTCACTGCCACAGTCCCTAAAAAACAAACAAAAAACTATAAACCCTTAAACACACAACTGTTTTTACTTTTTTGATGGAGAGTCTATTTTTTTTTTACTCTAGAGAGAACTTCAAGTTACTTGGATCATAATTGTATAAAATAAACTATCATGTTAAAAAAAAAAAGCTCTTTAATATTGGAACAACAGGTCTTGCTTTTAGCTAGAATTCTGAGGTTCCAGCCTTGCTTTAAGAAATACCAAATAATGCAATGAATAGTATTTTCCCCTTGAGTTCATATCCTTCCTTATGTTCAGTTTGATCTGTAACTAGCCACAAACCAGTAAATTTATATTAATTTTGTGGCTTCATTAGAGCTCATTCTAAGTCCTGTTTAGCAGCTGACTGTAATGTGTCTAAAGTTTGTATAGTTGTACTGAAGTGATCGATGACCAACTTGACCCAAATTCCTCAGGCAGCCACTGGGATCTTGTATCTCAAGACCCCCATCAACTCAGCAGTGGGTGATGATGTGGCTTTCACCAACAACATACTAATCGGTGGAGAGTGAAATGGTGAAATCCTGCCATACAGCCAAAGATGGCAGTCCTGCCCTGTGGCCCAGTGCCTGTACACCATTCAGAAAGGGGCACTATTCCCCAAACTGCACATGGCTTCTACCACCCTGCTGGGAAAATAGCAAAAGTTTGTTTTCTCCTGGTAGCAGGGTCCTCTAAGGGCCTATGCTAGCAAGCAACCCTGAATGTTGCTTGGAAGTCACTGGCCTTTGTTGAGTCCTTCAGTGGTCACACATGACAAAGGAATGGTGGACATGGCACACAAGGGAGATACAGGACAGGACGCTCTGCTCCGTCCTACTGCTGGACAGTCTGGTGAAAGAGCCTCCTCACCTGTTAAAAGTTAGCGACCTCCCTGCTTTTAGGATAAAGCTGAAACTGGCCTCACCAATTGCAGTGGCCAATATAGAACCATATTATTATCCATCTTGGATAGTAAACAGGACCAGGAAAAGTACCAGAAGATGCATCAGATTATTTATGTGCAAGTTCAGAAGGGGAAGTGGCTCTCATCATGGACACAGCCATCAGCCCTGGGAGTCAGGTTGTCAGAGGCTAGACACTGAGAGAAGTGTTCCGGAGTGGGGAGCCAGAGTCTCTGCTGGGAAAAAGGACCAAGGACACTTGACTGCAGGAGCCTTTCCTCTCCACACTGCAGCCAGAAGCTCACCTATCTCCTCTCTCCTAAGCCTGCTGTCTGATGATAATCCAGGGGCCACTCCATCGTCCTGACAGAACCTGACACAGCTGTTGGCAAGGCCTCTTATTCCCACACAGTGACGAACGCTGATGAGGAGAAAAAATGTACAGGAGCCTGGACATACTTGATGCGGCAAGAGCAGAAAACCAAAAACCCGCAATCTTTGAAACCAATCCCAGTGTGTTTTGGACAGTTTTGTACCACCTTTGGAATAGGTGATTTTTTAAAAAATATTTAGACTTTGGATTCAATTAGCATATTTTCTGCAAATTTAGATTATATGAAAGTGCTTGTGAGCCCTTGTTAGAATATTTAATGAAATTTACACCAAATTCCAAATTTTCCTCAAAGTGGAAGATTTTTCCATTTTGAGATTATTTTTCTGACTGAATTTTATGTGCTTGTAAATTGTGGACTACATTGGATTTTGGGCCATGTTTCCCATAAAATCTATAAGGAAAGATCTGGAGCTGTCCAGGTGAACCATTCTTCTGTGTATGTGGCCCTTGCACCCCTAGAGAGGTGGTCTCAGAAGAGCCACTCTTTCCACAATCCTTGAGGGATCTGGAAGGCGCCTTCCTTGTTCCTCCACAGACTCGTCACCATATGCCGGGACCTTTTGTTTTTGGTTGTCCCATCTGGTTGATGGTGCTTTGAGTCAGGTCACTCTGAATGGCTGTCCCCAGCACAATAATTACTCCTGAGACTGGCAAAGAACGGGCTGACTAAAACCTAGAAATGAAATCACTTTCATTCTATTCACTCCTTAAAATTGAGTCCTAAAAAAGTAATTGATTTTGTCTTTTGTATTTCTCCCTGGAACCCCCAACTGGTATTCTTCCGAGATTTCATGGTTTTGTTGGCATTGACTGCATTTCTAAACTCTCTCCTAATCTGGCCGCCATTATTTTACAGCAAACTGAACTTGGACTTTCCAGACTGACGCTCCCCCTCCTCACCCACATTGCTTTATTTCTTCCTCCTCCCTCAGGTTCTGACTTTCCCCCACTAGGATGTCATGACTCTGCCTAGGAAAACCAACACATTTTCGCATTAGAGCTAATCTCCCCTCGCTCTCCAGTGCATGTTCCAAGGACCTGCTGATTTGTGTGTGTTCACATTTTTTAAGTGTTCTCTTTAGTGCCTTTTATAGATACCTATTTTTACCAGATCATCACTGCTTCTTAATTGTTCTCAGATCTTTTTTTTTTATTGTTGTTCAAGACATTTAAAATAGCAGAGTGGCCCTTGAGCTTTCAGATAATCTTTCTGAATCTTAACCCTTTCTCTTTTATTAGAGACCACTTCCTCTTCATGCTATTTCTTTTCAACATAATAGTTTTAAAAACCTGAAATATGTTTCCCTTTCTTAAAGACACTCAGAACGCATGTTGACACCCTTCATGTTTTCTTTATTTCTGCTTATATCAGGAACTGAGAACACAGGGAAAGATGACAGATTAGTAGTCACAATGCAAAGATTAATAGCATCTTTATTGCACTAAAAAGCAAAACAGGAGAAAAAGAGATGCATGTCTCCTGTTTTTCCCTTCTCTTTTCACCGCATCTTTCTTATCATTCTAGCAGTTTCACAACAGTGATGGAACACATCATTCTAGAAAGCTGTCACTAGAATGGGCAGGGACACAACAGAGTTTATGATCTCTTTGGTTCTTGGTTTTCCAGCCTCTCAACTCTCAATTTTTTAGGTACTCATTCTCTAATTCTTTAGGTTTGGTATTCACTTTTAAGTTTCCCTCATTTTATAGCCTCCTCTTTTTTAAACTCACATCCACGTCTCCAAAGATTTCAAGATTTAAAAAGTCACAAAAACTTGCTAGAGTTCAGCTACAGGAATGGAACCCTCCTGGGAGCTAGCCTCTGGAGTTGGGAAATGGTGTGGATGCTCATTTTCTCAGGCAGCTCAGGGGCCAGTAAGTGATGCAAACCTGTATACTTCAGTGATCAGATAAATATCTATGTACAACCTGAAGCACCCGGCTGAGGATGAGCCAGGAGGCAGCACTATGCATAATAGCCCGAACATAGAAACAGTCCAAATGCCCACTAGCTGGTGAATAGATAAACAGACAGTGAAATGCACATGTATATGAAATTTCTAGAAAGACAAAGCTATAGGGACAGAATGCAGATCAGGTTGATAGGACAGGAGCAGGTTTACTGCAAACAGGCACATGGGAATTTTGGAGGATGATGGAGGTGTTTTAAAATGGATTGCGGTGATGGCTGCACAACTGTCCACATTTACTAAAAATAATTGAGCTGTATATTTACATTCATGCATTGTAAGAAATGTACATTATATTTCAATAAAGCTGTTTTTAAAAAGAGATAAAAGGAAAAAAACCCCAAGAAGACACTATCTAGCATGTATTTCCAGCCATACTGCTCAACTCCATTCTCTTAAGAATTATCTCTTAGTTAAGGATTAATATTCTCTTCCTGTCTTCCACTTGGGAGTGAAGTTTCAAATCTGAAGCCACAAATGAGAAAGAGCCAGTCAACCACCAGTCTTCAGTCCAGAAGGACTAGACAGTGCCATTGCTTTAATACGTATGAAACAAGAAAAGATTCTGGGTGACTTGTCATCTAGAAATGAAGAACTGGAAGTAAATTCCCTCTGGGGCCATATTTTCACTGTGGTTAGAGGCAGTCATTTATTTGTTACAACTGAGATCTGTCCTGTTTATTACTGTTAATTTCTACAAGCATGAGACAATGTCCTTAAGTTCACAGACTTCTGTGAATTCTACACTATTCCCTTCCACAGCTGGGGCCAAGACTTCATCAGTATTTCTCTATTATTATACCATAATAGAAATTCTTAGATCAATCAAGTCTTATTTCAATTTACTAATGATCTCTGCACCAAAAATATAAACCTCATCTTAATATATTGACTTTTTAGCAGCTGTTTCTAGCATGCAGAATTAGCCCAAGCACTGTCTGTAGCCACAGATGCTGAACTGTTTCCTGGAAAGTCTCTGTCCATACCTGCCCAGTGGTCTCCCTGCCATCCACTGGCACTCTGTCTTGACTTGAGGTCAGGAAATGATTCTTTCTTCTGACAGGTCTGCATGCTGGTGAGCCAAGGGTGGTGCTACCAGGTTCCACCTAACCTGCATGAAACAGTCCGCGGTGCTTGTTCTCGGTCAGAGCTGTAATAAAGATGGCTACAGTTGGTCCTTTCCCCACAGTCAGAACTTACTTTATCCTTCATCCACATAAGGCATCCTTGATAAAGTGACTTGTATCCCTGGTGATGTATTTGTCATGTAATATGTTATGGAACATCATATAGTCTCAAAGTGCCACTGGATGGGATCTGTTGGCTAAGTGTGTGGAGCAGTCTTCCAGCCAACATGCCCTCACTCAAAAGTCTGGTATTTCAATGCAAGTGCCTATAGATATTTTACCACCAAAATAAAACATGGACTTCCTATCATCTTCCAGGACATTTTCCACTCAAAGTGGTTACATAATCATTATTTTTTGATTGGCCATTTGACTATGATGCTGACATGTTATAACAGAATGTGCAATGACACTACTGTCTTTGAAACCAATCACTGGGCTTAAAATTCAGTTTTACAATAATTAATTGAACATATTGGCATTCTAAATCAATAGCACCCTAAAATGAATACCTAGTTCCTTACATTGTTTAGTTCATACATGGGGGGAACACATGAAAATGTGTTCTGATCACTGTTACCGTGGTGGTTGTGCCTATCCCATCAACCTTATCCTATGCCTTTCCTGTCTGACTTCTTGCTCCTTTTTTCTTTACCTGTCTCTCCCTCCCCTCTCTTCTTCTCCTCTCCCCTGACCATTTGAGATGCTCCAGCAGAAGACGACCCCTCCCCTTGTGCTCTGGAGACAGGCCATGGACGGCAGTGTCAGAACGGCACCGTGTGCAAGCCCGGGTGGGACGGGCCCAGGCACGGCATCACCAACTTTGACAACTTCGCCTTCGCCATGCTGACAGTGTTCCAGTGCATCACCATGGAGGGTTGGACAGACGTGCTCTACTGGGTACGTAGCTTGCGACTCACAGGGGCAGGGAGTCCAGAAGGCTACAAAGACTTCCTTCCCTCGACTCTCCTTGTTCATCCTTCCCATGATTTTGATGGAGAGGATGATGAATTTCTTTGATTTCTTTCAGGCCTTTTATGAGAGACAAAGCATGAGATATTCACCCTAATGAGTCTCTCGCTGCCCACCAGCCTAAGAGAAATGCCATCTTTCAGTGTGTCTTCCACTGTTTCTAGTGAGAAATTCTGGCATGTCCCTGATGCCTGGAACAAGGTTGCCATTCATTCCCCCACCCACTCTTGGGTTTCCTTTCTTCTTATTCTCATCTTGCCTCTGTCCCCAAAAGACAGATAGAGTATTAATTTTTAGGGCTAAAGAGAAAAGGCCTGGTCCTTTTGAGGCCTGGTCCTCTAAAAAGAAGCCATTTTTATTGAATGGTGTAACATTACGGCATGCTATTTTTATTTCTTATGTTTATCTTACTGTATCATATTAAAGTAGTCCAGGCAAATACATTATTGTCATTTTTACTGCTAACAAAGCAGGCCTCTGCTTATGTGATACATATTTGGAAATAGTACTTCTTAAGTGTCAACCAGTCAACAATGAATGTTGTACTTTAAAGATACCCCTTTTATTACCCACCAGCCAACACTAGTTTGCCAACCTTTGAAGTGCCAGATTTGTGTACAGCCTGCCCTGTAGGCAGATATACACACCATATTTGAGCTCTCTTTACTCTGGCAGAGTTAAATCCATTATTTGTAAAAACTCCAGAAAATTTAATTCTTTATACTGTCTCCTATTTCAGCATGAGACATGATTTGCCAGAATCCAGTGTTGTTCTCCAACACTTGGGTGAAAAATGTTTGTTGCCATTCTTGAAAATGCCATCTTACCTAGCATTTTGCAAATAGTGAATTTATTCGGCCATCCTGAAAACCACATAAGAACCTGCTTAGGGAACAATGCCTGCACACTACAGCAGGGGAGAGTGGGGGTGAGGCCAGCAATGCCCTCCCACCAAGCAGAGGGGCCAGATAGAAAGGAACTAACGCCACAAGGAGTATTGACTTTTTTTCTGAATCAGAAAAGTTTTGTAACAGCACAAAGATGTGATATAGCATATTGTAGCTTCTAAATTTTTTAATAAACATCATGTCTTATTGATTCAAAACCCTCTTTTCCCAGTTTTTATGTTGTAGTCCACATGCTAAATCCCAGTGTTGCTATGAAATTTGTAGCACTCTGCAAATGACTACTTGAAACCTGCCTGAATACCTCTACCGAGCAAACATTTATTAAACATTCCTCGCATGCCAGGAGTGCCTCTAGGTACTGAGAATTCAGACCTAAAAAACATCCAGTTCAGACTGAAAAGCTCAGCCTAGGGAGACACATTAGACTGTAGCTGAGTAATGGTGGCACAGCTGCAGCCATGCTGGGCAGTTGCTGTGTGGTGATACTTCTAAAGACAAAGGTCAAATCACCCTTTCCTCAAACTAAAATGAAACATGGAAAAAACATTTCTTAGGCCCATGTTTTAAATGATTTGTACAAAGAGAAGGAATTGAGCTTGTTATGCTTAGGCAAATATATTTCATTTTGCAAAGCTGATCAATTTTCCCAGTGGCCCTGACTGGTGCTTCTGCCCTGGGTGGATACCTCAGGCCAGCCAAGGACAGAAGCCTCCTTCTGCAAATGGGCAATTTCTGCCTGTGGGCCAGAAAATGTCATTGTATGGAACTGTGCTTTGGAGCCTCATCATGTGAGTTTCAAACCCATGCTTTAAGTTGCTATGGAAACACCTTCCATGGCAGCAAATTGAGGGCAGGGTGGCAGTGGGTGGGTGTGGGGTTGATGGGAATAGGTATAATTTACTTTGCTGATGGCCCTGATGTATTTTTGTGATCTTCCTTCATCACTCCCTCCCTTTTCCCGACTACAAGTCATTGATACTCCAACAGCCAGATGTGACCCAAAGAAATACTGTCATAATGACAGCTGGAATAGGGAATGAGAACAAGCACAGAAATGCAACTACCAATTTTCAGCAGCTGTGTTGTGTTTTCTCCCCTGGGGTGTGTGTGATAGAGCTCAGGCTGAAAATGGAAAAAGTGTCAGAGGTGAAGGAACAGTCCCAGGCTCATGGGACATGCCTTTCTCTGATTTTCCCAGCACCTTTCCCAACTGGCCATGTTGTGTGTGCACATGCAAATGCGCACACACACCTAAAGCTGAGAGAGAGCCTTGCATTGAGTGTTCATGATGGAAGCACCTTCCAGCCCAATGCTCCTGCTTTCAGGCAGTTTTTTAAATTGCTTTGACCTTTCTATGGACATTTTACTCTTCCTTCCTTCTTCTCTGTCCTTCCTCCCTCTTGAGCATTCCTCCTTCTGGCCTGTAGGCCTTTATCTCTAAACCCACAGACTCTCAAATCTCCATGTGCTTTAGTGTAACATGGAACTTTCTAAAAGGAAGATTCCAAGACTTCCCTCTAAGGCCTTGGATTATAAGCTCCAAAGTTAGAACTCAGTGTCTGCATTTTGAAAAAGTTCCCCAGGTGATTCTGATGCTCAAGCTGGAGTTTGAAACCCCTCAGAAGTTTAAACTATTGAATTCAAGTGGTGCTGCTTTGATGCTCTGAATTTGAACCATTCTAGAGAGATAGTTTTCATTGAAATTGGAGAAGTAGGGTCTTCTACCCAGAAGAATACATTTTTCTTCACATCCAAGGGACAAGTCTGGAGGACATGGGAAGGACCAACCCAAGTTTCCAAGTATGGCAACCCCAGAGTTAGGTTCCTTCGGAACCACCAAACAGCTAGTTAGAAGATCCTAGGGAGATACTAGATCATCACAGCAGTAAAGAAACAATTGATTCAATCACTAGATATTGCCTGGGATAGAAGAGACTCAGGAGGTCACTGTAGCAAACAGCAGACACCTGCCTCCTGCCATGGAAGATACTGAGTCTGTTTCCCTTTTTCTCTGACATCCATTATTTGATCCCATTGTTATGATTTTGAAAAATTGGTGGACTAAAAGTAAAACCTAACTCAGTCGAGTAAGACTTGATATTTTTCTGCTATTCAACCATTGGCCATATACTAGATCAAGAACCCAGTAAACTGAACAATTAGCTTAAAACATTGCTTGTACTTAGTGCCCTGTTCCAGAGGTCTGCAAATGACAAGGTATGGGGACTTGGAAACTAAGACAAAACTCAGGTTTGGACTGTCATTTCCTCAGGAAATGGCTTCTTCAGCCAAAGCCTCTCCATTTACTCTCAGAAAAACTACACCTCTTCAGAATTAGGGAAGGGGAACTGATCTCATAGAAAGTACCAGCTTTCTTTGGAAGCAGTGAAGCACCAAGACAGGGAGGAAGCTAGGGTTGTATGGAGGGACCATTGCTTTCCAATTCTACTTTCAGGTGTGTTTGGTTTTTTAACCAAAGGTCCCTAGTAGCCTCCTGCATATGATTCACAACTACTTGTCTTACATGGTTCAGCCACGTGCTTTCCTGAATGTGTAAGAGGCCGCTAGATCAAGATGAAATGTTGGGTTCTCACATTAGGGTCAGTTTGAAACTCTCTGCATTATCCCTCCTACAATTAGCTCACAATTAAATAGCTTAACATCAGTCAGTTATCTGTTCAGTGCTGGCTTTGGGCCCAGCACTTGAAATAGCTCCATCCATGCTCATGGCAAACAGAATAACAGGGCCATTGAACTGGGGTTGGAACCCTCAGAGCAGGTCACACGTGAGAACTGTGCAAAAGGGAGGCAGTAGTGAGAACAGGCACCACACAAGAATACACTTTTCCAGGTCTGTAGGAGTCCTGACACTGCATAATTCTTCATGAAGAGGATCATGTTGACTTCTCCCCTGCTGAAGCCCTTCTGCTCCAGGGCCCCTAGGAGTAGTGCACACTGTGAGGCACAGTAAAAAGCACTCTGGTCTATGTTTTGCTGGACTCATGCTCTTCCCCACCCTACCACCATCAGGGTTACCTTCTTTCCAACACCCATTGCCACCCTCTTGGTTTCTTATACTGATTTAAAAATATTAGCAATTGTGCTTACAAATAATATTAGAAAGCATACTTAATGAGAAATCATGTAAAGGAAATATTTTTAGCACCTTTATCACACATAGCACCTTCTGTAGTATCTGGATTACTTTTGGTTCAACTGGAAAGCTTGGGAACAAGAGTATAAGGTTCTAATCTTAGTCATAAGTCGGTTGTCAACACTATACTTTGTCTTTGTCACTCCACTACATGTCTGAACATGCTGGGAAGATGTTCCTGCCAAACTCTCTCTCTCTCTCTCTCTCACACACACACACACACACACACACACACACACACACACACACACACAGAGGAAAGCCACTCATCTCTGGTCTCAGTGCTGCTGAAGTATCCCTTATTTAGTACAAAGGACTTTTGCATCCAAGCAGGTTGTAATTCAGGTTTTATCCTGTTTTTTCCCCTACTCCATTGTTCCTTCAAAAAGCCCTCTCTTTTGACTACAGAATATAGAAAATGAGACTCTAAAGGCATCAGGAAAGCAGAAAGGTGGACCTGAATGCTATTGATGACCTAATAGTCATTCTAAGTGAAGAGCCGAGAAAAAAAATCCTCAAGTAACCCAGAAACAGTATCCTTGGCTCTTTAACAGGTACCAGAGTAGAAAAAGTGGTGGGTACTACTTAGGACCCTGTGGTCTTTTAACTCTCAATCTGCCTCAGGGTGTTACCCACTTAGCCAGCTTTACACAGAGCATTTGTTATCTCACATTTAAATAGTTGGTTCATTAACATATTAAGAAAAATAATTAGCATCTCTCAAAGTTATTTATTTAGTTAATGGGTTTTACTATATTCATTGCACTGGTATTAGGTGAGTCATTGCGACTATTCAATAATTCAATTTAACAAACATTTATTGAATATTTACTATGCTCCTAGGACTGAGTGGGAACTGGGGTGGG